GATTTGTATCCTCGCTACAAAAAGATGATTAAGACCCATAAAAAGAATGGGCACCATTCGCTCGGTATAGTGAAAGACACGTTTCTGAGATGGGCCTATTTCGACCCACAATTTCGTAATTTCCAAGCTAAGAGTTTTCGATCCAAGTTCTGACGTTTTATACACTGAAAAGTATCAGATGAAAAAACCTAGTAAGTCTAAAAGTGTCTGTTTTTTAAAAGCTATCTTCAAACAACGTGTGCTCAGACAAACTTCTTACTATTTCCTTTCCCCATTCGCTAAAGATGAGTTTTCAGCTTGAAGCATGATGGTCAAACCTATTGAGAAGGAAATACTGGTATTTCCACTGCACCTTCCATGTCACCAGAGCCCGGCCAAGAGTTTTGAAAAACAACTAAGGCGGTGGTTTCCAACTTTTATAGTTTCATTTCTTACATTTTGATACATTTTCAATGGCATTTTTGTAGATGTTTAAAGCAGTCAAGATCACTAGGTCAATGTAAACAAAAGCAATAAGGCAACGCGTGACTACAAAACCAACAATGCATTGCGCCGGCGCGCATATATGACGTAATTCGGTGAAAGGGCTAAAAGGGGCAGGTAACATTTGAGGGTATTTTAAAAGCAAGAATACTTACAGTGACATTCACCAGCTCGTATGGTCTGCAGAATGATCCCTTGGGGCATGGAATAATACAGGTTTCATCTTCTGGGCAGACATACCCTAAACAGGTTTAACAATGTATTAGAGTACTAAGTCAAAAAACGCATACAAGCACACACAATGTCAGCAACATCGAATAATGACACTTCAAAATTTGAAAAAATGGTGAAACCCGTGAATTTATGTTTCTCTCTCTAGACCATCAAATCTACTCTCTACAGCAACATTAAAAGTAAATGTCTATTTTAAAAGTATCGTAAAGAAAATTGCTTGCTTAAGTTACTAGCTAGACTTTGCACGGAGTTCTTCTTCCTCTTTAGAGCTCTAGGAGGGGACTAATTAGGGCGAGAGGGCCAATCTTCCCTTGGTTCTCATTCTATCAAAAGTTACTCAATTCCTACTTCTTGGCATTGTAATATCTAGAGATAATTGCAAGAGCCCTTGTTTGTGTTCCATAACAATTCACGTCTGCTCATTTTAAACTGCAAAGAAAGCTAAATGTAACCAAAGCCATCAACGCAAAGAAGCCTGACGAATTTGCTTTCACAGCTTCTATCAGGCACATCCCTATCAAGCATAAAACATACCTGGAGGACAGGGCAAGCTGAAACCAGTGGCATTCCTGTAAAAACCAGCTATACATGAGGTTGTGTTGAGGGGCTCTGAACAAAGTGCTTTGTATTTCAGTGGCCCGTACATTTCGGCGGGTGTACGACCAACTGTGTAAGATGAATCGCAAGCATCTACTTTTCCACAGCAATCTTGGGCATATTCTTTTGGGCAACAAGGAACCTTTCCAAACCCAGGACTCTCTGAAAACAGAAAAGGTAAACTTTGATACACGAAAACTGTTGATTATCACAAAAAATAGTGACGATCGTCGCGCACACATTTCCCTATTCTTTGTTAATCCTCTTCTTTGCCTAGTTTTGGCTTGCTTGCAGGATTGTAATTATTTTTCGTTCTTGCCAAAGGCTGAATGAAGTCTGAATCCTCGTGCAAAGTCCGCCAAGAAAGTCCTTGGAATTCCTTGTTCCCCCATTCTTTTAAAACCCGTAGCTATAGGGGCATTGGGGGCGTCGCATTCCCTTTGAAAAAGATTCCATTACAAACAAGGTGATTTCTTCAATCCAGGGATGCCTAATCGACACATTTTTGAATTTGTCGGCAAATAAACAATGATTCATTTACTATGTCGAGAAATTTGACTTGAATATCCTCTTGGGTTCTTTGAATAAGGTTAATAATTTAGTGTAAAAATTAGAGACACCGTACACCTAAAACATTTCGGAGGTATCGACAATGTGCACAAATGCTGTAATGCATCAAGCCTTCTGGTAAGGATTGTGGTTGATGCAAGGTTCCTCAAAAACATGGCGAAATCTTAAATGCGGAGTCCGATAATAAAAAACCAAACATTTATTAATTTAAGCCTTGTTGCTGATGATTCCTAATGAACTTCAAAATAACTATTATCGTCGAACAGTTAATAGCCAACAGTATGCAAACTATTTTTCATAAAAATGGAACATAGATCAGCTTAGTTCTGATAGAATGCTTGTTATCAACGATACAGTTTTTCGAACAGAAAAGTCTAAATACGACAGAACAGAAATGTTAAAAATTTTAAAACATACTTTCGCAAAGGTTTTCTGCATTTATTTGGGATAGTAGGAATGACAAAGCAACCAAGATTGCTTTATATTTAATTTCCATTTGTTGATCTGGAAACCTTTAATGATAAGATTTTCTTGCAGCTTCTGAATGTAGGAAAAACGAAATATGATTACGTCATCAACGAATAAACTGTTTTGGGTATATTAAGGGTAAAATCTGTATACTACATAGGCCTATGTATGAAAAATGGATACACTGAAATGATTGTCAAAATTAGCTAGATGAAACGAATACCACTTAAATAAAGTCGGAAAAAAAACGTTAACACAATAGTGGTGGGAATATACACTACAATATCATTAAAGTAGGCCTACGAAAAATCTGTAGGGTTGAGATGGTCGACTAGCAATTTCTAGAAAGATTCCCTAAAACTCTAATTTAATGCACTCACTAGACAATTAAGAATTACGTTCCCCTAGCATGATTACAGAGAAACTTGTGTTGGTTAGAGAAATTTGACAGAGCAATTTGGTCAGAGAAAAATAAAGATTTTTAAAAATTGTCTTTTATAGCAAACGAAATACGGGACGCCTGCAGTCTAGCCCGAAATATTATCTGTGTTGTAATTTCGAAATTATAGGGTATTGATTTACAGCAACATAACGTCACTGCAGAGACGCAGCTTTTGTGAAACGTATCTGAAAATTATTATGTTTCCAGGAAAAGTTGATCTCAAATCATAATTACAACTTCTATAGCAGCAATCATGCAATGTTTACTCACCACGGTAAAGTTTTTATGTGCAATTGACAGAGTTTTCTTTAACGCGCAATTTTTCCAAAGAGAAGTCAATGAAAATAAAAAGTCTCGTCACAGGTTACAACGAACATTCCATTTTCGATCTTCTCGTTCGAAATCCGACGAGAAAAAGAGGACAGCCTCGTTCACCACCAGACACCACACTTCATAACACTTCTTACTTATTACATTACTACAATAAAACTGCAATAATATCTAGATGAATCTAGAAAATAGCATGGCTATTCATCTACTCAGTTCAGAATGCTCTCTGATGTGTGATGCGACGAGATGCATTTAATTTTCAAATTTCCGCTAGCTTACAGAAACATACAAAAAATTAAGAATATTAATACAATACATTTGATAACCAATCCAGTAAAAGGATTTCGATAAACAACTAGATAACATCCATGATTGATAATTATTAAGATAAATCAGAAATAAAAACTAACACTCCTTTCCAAAGGGCTCTGTTTGTTCCACCGTATTTCCAAGAATCTTAACAGGGTGACAAAAAAAGCAAAAATGGAGGAAACATAATTAAAGCCATTTTGTCATCTATCTAATGGCCTAAAACTTTAAGATTTTTCCTACTATAGAATAATATCTAAACTTTGGTCTTCACCGAGCAAGAGAGTTTACCGGCCTGATATGTTTTCTATTTCACTTTGATTCAATATACCACTCAGATAATAAATTTCAGTAGCTCCATTAACTTATCGTTTAAGATTTCTTGACAACTTTTAAGAGATTTTAAAAGTTTTTATAGAGAGATGTTGTTGAAAGCATTGAATGGCCTGCAATAGAAAAGGTTTCTCTGTAAACTTATAAGATGGCATGCTCAGGGGTAAAATTGCCTTTCCCAATGGTAGAGAGGGTGATCTAACAACTTTTTCTAATAACACGAAGCTTCTTTTTAAGTAACGTTTCTTCATAACTTTCTTCGTAGTTAAAGAAAATGCTGCCAACGAGAACTTAATTTTGTGACAAATCAATTGGAGCATTAACCAACAAAAAGAAAAAATTAATACTGTATTTTGAAGGAATTCTGAGAAATTCAATACTATTTCAGCCTTGAAGAATGAATTAAGAACATAGTCAAACACCGTGTACGAAGAACACAGAAGTCCTAGATTAACTTGCTTCTAGAAACATAAGTTATAAAACTGATTTCCATTGCACAGTTTGATAATTCTAACCTCTCAGAAGTATCCAGAAATATTACACCATTGGAAATGTAGGCGCAAAATTATCAAAATTGCTTATACCAAATAGAAGATAGCGAACAAGCAATGCTACAATAGTTTAAACCTTTCCTTATGAAACGCAACCCCAAGCCATTAAATGCAATTTAAACTTTAAATTATAATATAAGCAAGCAATCCATAAATTGCTTGACCACGGCGCTCAACCAGTTAACTCTCACTTAAAAACAAAACTTTCACTTATACCATTGTAAAGTGCTAAAAATGCGAAATAATCAAATACCCGTTTGCTCAGCTATGAAAAGCACATTTTTTACAAATCGATGGATTAATGTGTAAATCTTAATAGAAAATGGAATAGATTTGAAAGGAAGTAAGGTGAAAAAGGCAGCTTCTGTTCCTCTAGGAGTAGTCCTGTTCTAAACACCAAATAGCGTGTACAGCTTTGCCTATACGGCATCGAACACGTTATGACAAACCGGTAAACAGTCATTTTTATAAGAGAAATAGACAAAAACAGGCAAACAAAATTTATTTCTTGGAAAAATTGGGGAAGAGGGATGGGGTAAGAGGGAGCTTGAGAAGCTTTCCCATACCTGGGAAAAAATTTCGTGATTTCAAGTTGTAAATTGCATAAAGCGTCTTTTGTACCTTATCTCCTACAGCCAGTAATATCATGAATCAGGGTCTATGTGTATACCAGCTCAGCTAATTAACTAATGTATAAGACGCTTCGGGGGGTATGTATAAATGATCGAGACGTAAACCACAAGTTGTATTCTGGTCATGAATAGCCGACAGGACGTCTCTAAATAGCATGCAACCAGAACGCAAATCGTATAAATGATTTATGCAAGGCAAAATATACAACCAGTTCACCTTTTGTATTTGGTGCGAAGTCGCATACTATACTCTGTTACCTTGGTTAGAATCATTAAAAGACGACAGATAGCCTCGTATGTTTTGATGACGCCATTATGATTGCCCGCCTTAAGATCAGTGTATTGGTAAGTAGCCATATTAGATTCTAAGCATTGCTTTTCGTAAGGAAGTCGTTTGAAAGAAATCCTCCATAGATTTAAGAAAATCGCAACATTTCTAGAGATAAACACTGGGTCAACTGATTAAACATTTAGGAAACAGCACAATTTGTAAGCTGTGAAATGGCCTAACAAGTAAGACAAAGTTTTCTGTATTCGACTTTCAAACGGATATCGTTGTTAACAGATAGAAGCAAGTTAGCAGATTTCATAAGGACCAAATTTTAGCTTTATGTTGCTTCTTGAACCCGTTTAATCTTAGGGATGAGCATTATAAAGTTCCCGAGGCATCTTAATAATCTGATAGACAACATATACAAGGTTCCTGATATGACGGTGGTGTCAGTTTTCGTAATGTTTTTGTCAATTAATTCGGTGGAAAACAAAATAAAATATTTGAGATAACGGTAAGGAAGAGATGCAATACAAATGTAAACAAAGGAGTATTTCCGAAATGGAGGAAGAGATTTCAAATGATCGTCAACTTCATACGAAGTGATGTTTGTGTGAAATGATTTATGTTCACGTGATAAAATATGTCTGTTTGTAGTCATGTGGCCATGAAATATACTCCATTTGTCCCACGTAAAAAACATGCTATCAGTCAAATCTTACTTGATAATGATAAGAACGTAAGAATTATTTAATTTACGAAATATCCATGATATGGGATGTTGCGATATAAATAAACGTGTCAATAATGTATTAAGTATTATAAGGCAATAATATTCTCAATGCTTTCTAGCACAAGCAGAAACGTTGACAGTTGAATGTGAGTGTCTATGGAAATCAGCATTTGCAAAGCTGCAGGATCTTCATTTCACGAAAAGAAAAGGTAAATTTGTTTGCAGAGGTTGGACTGCAGCATGGAATAAAAAGACTTAAACACGACAAATTTTAAAGACAAGAATGGGAATTTGAGATTAAAACAAGCTTTATGAAAGTATTTTGTGTTGTTTCATCATGATAGCAATAAATAACAAACTGAGAAAAGCGGGAGAACTGATAGCGGATATGATGCAGCGGGAAACGTATAATTTGTCCCGGAACGAAAGCAGAAGAACTGAAAATAAAACATCGAAAGACGGCCTGGCATTTCCAGACAAAGTCAACCTCCATGGTAGGCCATGTTTAGACATGAGTGTACAAGAGCTTGAAGTTATTCCAAAACAGGTTTTCAAGGACTCAGATTTAAGAATACTGAAACTAAACGGAAATTTTCTCCGTTCGATACCATTTGAAATGACAAGACTGAGACACCTTGAAGAGTTGTATCTACAAAACAACAACCTCGAATTCCTGCCGGCACAAGTATGCGCGTTGATAAGTCTGCAAGTACTTGATGTAAGCTACAACAGGATTAGCATGCTACCATATTCCGTATCGCATTTGAAGAATTTGCGAGTGCTGGATGTCGCCTATAATAATATCAAAATGCTCCCAGAGAGTCTTCATTTTCTGCAGTCACTTGAAGCTCTTAACATCGACGGCAACAATATGGGACAATTAACTGATACACTTTTTAGCCTGCATAACCTGATTACATTGAGCGCCAGAGACAACAACTTACAAACGCTACCAAAGCAACTTTCAAAGTTAAAAAAGCTTCGAGAACTTTGTTTATCGGAGAATCCAATATCAAAGATCCCAGATTCCCTGAAAAGTTTCCTTAGGAAAATTGACTGCCTGGAAATAGATCACGAATTACGTATGAGCGACCTCATGTTGTCAACATCGCCTTTGCTAATTTGCTTGAGAGGAGCGGACAAAGAGAAGTCAAATTATGAACAAGCAAAAAAAGTGAGACAGACTCCTGAATTAATGCCTTGCGAGCAAAACCCAGTGAAAGAGCTTTCTGCGAGTTATGATGATGATGATGACATGGTTTATCATTTCCAGTCATACGCATTTCCAGGTGCAGAGGAGAAACCAGATAAAGAAACAGCTATTTAGTTCTACCTTTGTATGCTAGTTGTATAGAAGTATGTAATATTTTGTCATGAAGGTGTAAAGGCTTTTTACAGTGTCGTTTAACTTCCCTACAGCTGTTTTTGTTCTTGAACAGTTAGCTTTCTTAAAAAGATACGAATAATTTTTGCCTTAAAAACAGTATCATAAAAGATGCTTCGGCTTGAACTGTATACTAAACATCCCAGATACATGGGTGTGGGGGATGCTTAGGGGGGTTGCAGCAGGGACGCCGGAACGACCAAGGGGGAAAGGGGACAGGTTTCAATAAAAAAGGTATATGAAAAAAGGTTCTACTAAATCTCTTATAGAATCTTTTGTAGAACCTGATCGTGTTTCGATATTCTGTAGGCAACTTGTGAATGGGCTAACTGCTGTCATGAGCGAGTTTTGAGAAATTTTGCCGTTAATAAAGCACTACTGTAAGGATTTCAAATAAACTATTTAGTTATTACAAAAGGCCGATGTCTAAATGCACCTTTGCTCCCTTTGCCCCTCATATCGAAGGACAAGATGGGTGGTTGCCCCCCCCACGACTCTCTTCTCCACGACCCCCACGAACCCCTTTACGATCGCATACTCTTTCCCCTACACGCGTATCAATATTTAAAACGAGAAAATATTCCAGCCAAGCACTTATACAAACATTTTAAAATCAAGAGCTCCTATCCTAGTTTTCAAGCATCTTAGCGAAGAAATTCGGTTGATTATACGCCAAGAAAGCTATCATTGCTAATGGCTGTGTTTTCCTAAGCAACAACATATATTAGGGATTCCCAGTCGGCGATTTAAAAATCTTCTGAAGGGTTGTATGAGTTACAAAGGGGACTGATTATAAATGCAGACTGATGCAAGAGTTAAAAAGGGGGAATCTAACTTCATCCGGAATGATTTTATGGTGACAGCAGCAAACGATGTTTTTGACAAAAAAATACAAGATCTTTAGTCAAGAGACAAATTCATTATATTTGAATTCTAACATAAATATATATATTTCAGTCCGTATAAACATATTTCAATTGAAAGTTGACTAGACTAAATACCTCGTGGTTTGAGTTCTTTGCTATAGAGGGACAGAGAAACCCCAGAGGTTGAGTTAAACAGTATGATTTTGTCATTGTCGTAACTTGCACAATACAGAGACCGGCTGTCAGCGAAACTGAAAATAATTAAATAATTAAATAATTTTATTGAAAGAAATTTTATGAATTGGAACGGAACGAAAATGATAAAGCAAAAAAATCATTGCAATAGAGTGTACTGTTGCATGATGTTACATTACAATAGGGAAAACGAAATTTTGTGTAATTAAGAGGAATGTAATATTGGACAGTGTAAAGAAATATAATATGGTAGAGAAAGATAAAATATAATATATATTATAAAACAAAGCATGATATACATTACATTAACAATCGTATTTTGAACTCTAGAGCCCTATAATTATTTCCAAAATAAAAAATAGTTTTTGTTACATATAATCAAACGCAGTAAAAGTAACAATGGATATAGGTAGCACAAAACGTTAAATTTACAATAAATACTGGAAAAAATCTATGTTTGTTGCGTTAGAATAAACAAAAGGCAAAAATATGAAGATCATGATCTACCTGATGCTTGAAGGGCCACGCAAGCCATCACTTGATGCAAACACGTCAATGAATTTTCCTAAAAAGCAGCATAGAAAACATTAGCCTTTTTGAAAGCTGGAAAAAATAATCATTGAGGAGAAAATGAAATGATAGATTTCATTTTCAATGCCAACTGTTCTTTTGGCCTGCCCAAATTTTAGCTGAGCTTTTTTGTAAAGAACCTTTTCTAATTTGATTCTCAAACATCCATTAGAACTAAGTCTTTTTCTTCAGGGAATGTTTATATAGATTTTCTAGTAAAGTCCGCTTGTCTTCTATAAAGCTCTATATTGTTTTCTGCTTCGTATATCAAGTAGTGTTTTCTGCAGTGGTCTTAAAGGTTTTCTTAAAAACTACGGCTGCCAACAAACAAATTATAAATGGTCCTGGAAAAATGGGGATCATGTTGAAGATTAGATGCTTTTCAGTTGCTAGCAGAATAAGAGGGCAAAAACAGCAGACTTTGATCTCGTAGGAAAATGGAAAAAGTAGGATAAGTTGTCTTTTTGGAAAAGATTTGTCGAAAAGAAAAAGAAAAAACGAAAAAAAAGTGCCCAATCTGAGATGAAACTGGTAAAGAAATATTGCTCTGTGAGAATAAACATTGCCTTGTCAGCTTAATTAAGATGTGGCCTAAGAGGTTTGTCTTAAGAAATACAGTAAGAGGTTTATCTGAACATCATCCAGCACAAATTCGTTGCAGATAAAGTATGCCAAATTGAGCAAATGAGAGTCACCTGTTTTGCCATTGAATCGCATGACGCTATTTGTGACATAACTAGTGACGTACACGTGTCTGCAAATAAAGGGAAAAATAAAAATACGGCATCGAGAGAACGATATTCTTTGATTGGAAACTAAACTTTGGAATGAGTAAACTTCAAAGTGTTGGCCAGGCTGACAAGAAACAGCATTAAATACTCAAGTGCCTATTGATACTGTAACAAAGATTCTGGCCATCCTGTTGAATTAAGTTCACGAATTTAAATGACAAGAACAAGTTGCAACCGTGAAAAACGATATCTTTAAAGTCATTAAAAAAATAAATGGCAAAAACACTACGAAAACAGACTAAAAATGATAATATTATTCAGGATTAAAACAGACAAACAAAATTATTCATGCTTAGGCCAACTCCAGAAGACTTTCGGTAACTTGAAACCCCCTGGAAGTTCAAATAATTAGAAACTGACTCTATTCTGAACTGTTAATTGTCGACACCACTCTTCGGCATAAAATAATGTAACTGCTTGGTGGACATGACATACAGAAAACCCAGACCTAATAAAAAATATTGCGTGTTGTGCCTTTCATAATAGCAAAAACAATACCCGTCGAGTCCGGTGATAATTCCAACTGGTTTTTCCACATGTGCAAATTCACCAAGAAAGATCCCTGCACAACATCAAGATATCAAAAAGGTAAAACTTTATTATCATACATAAATTCTTTACGCTCATACCGATTTTTAGGCATAAAACATTCTTTCTAATAAAATCTTGTTAGAATTGCTCCAGGAAAACAGAAAGAGCTTTTGAAAGATTCCAGCAATAATGAAATCTTTTTTCATAATTCTTAGACAGTGTTTCACAATATCCCATGTGCATTTCTGGACTCTCTTTTCTTCCTACAAAGCCTTGAAATAACAATATGCTCTCTGAAAATGGTTTTGTGAAAAGCAAACATTTCACAACATACTAAAAGCTTTTTCGTCTGACACTCCTTAGAGCATAAAACGTCAGAATCAGGGTCCGAAAGAACACGATGAAAAATATATACCCAGCTGTGGATCGAAATAGGCCAATCAGAAAAACGCAAGCACAAGACCGGTATAGTTGACCAATCAGTGCTGCGAGCCTAAAGAAAAATTACCACTGGAGTCCAAGAGAGACAACGAACTCCTTCTGTCTACACAATGGCGGCTTTTTCGTTTGTATTTAGATCGACTCCAAAACTGCTAGATGGAAGGAAGACCGGGCTCTGCCAATTATCCGAAACATGTCGTCATTATAGAGTTTTGCACAATCTGGGTTGTCTAAAAGATGTTGACCGATGGCAGTATCACTTGTTTTAACAGTGTTTCTAGACCTACAAGATCGAGGAGGTCTCTCTCCTCACATAAAAAGATCTCATCGAACTTGATGTGTTTCAAATTTCATAATCTTAAACACCATATTTAACAAATAAAGAATTGTTGACATACAAAAAATTCAAGATTTTTGAAAAACTGTCAATAAAACAATTTTTCTTTTGAACAGAAATGAAATGCAAAAATTATTCACTTTATTGATGTTTTCTTGAATTTCTGCATTTGATCAAATACGGTATTGACTCACAGCAAACAATTTGAATGAATGAATGAGATGTAATTCGTAATGTTCAATAACGCATGAATAATACAAGGAAAAAGTCTGGAAAGAGACTAAATTTTTCACAATTTACCAAATTTTTCCTCAAATAATATCTTCCCTGGTTTTTCTCTACCCTGCTAGTAATTTCCCTTACTTTCCCCCGTTTAAGCACCTTTTCCCTCACTTTAGACTCACTTTTTCCTCACTATCGATTATCGAATATTAACGGTTGTTAGTTAGGTATAAAAATTCTCCAGTTAGCCTGAATAGTCGCGGAAAGGTGACAAAAACAATTTTCAAAAGTGACTAAATCTTTTCAAGACTTTTTAACCCAATTTTTTCCTTAATTAGGCCAACTTTCACAAGAGATTATGCAAAGAAAATGACGTCACCTGTCACTGGATCAAGCATGATGACATTATCTGTGTAATGACTGCTGACCAACAGCGTCCCGTTTCTTAGGAATGCAACACCTTCAGGGCTAGAAGGATACGAAAACACTTTCAAGTGGAAAAGAATAAAATATTGATTTACAAAAACAAATGATTCCGACTTCAGACCCGATAAACGTCAAAAAAATAACATACAAAGTGAAAGAAACAGACAACGTTTATCGTAATACTTCGAATCAGCCACCTGAAGGGTTTTAATGCTGAGATTATTTTGGGTGGGGGCTTAATACTTGCTATCAATATACACCATAGTTAAATGCTAAATAACATGTTTGGTTTGAGAATCAAGACACTATATTTTCTTGTTAACATATTACCCTTTGAGTCCTTTTGATTGATCAGCAACCTGACAAGGAAGAGTAAAGAGAGGTAAATCGAAACATGACACACTTGAGTCTAGCTTCAAGCTACATTTTGCTAAGTTTAGAAACATTTTACTGAAACCAAAAAGCCAAGGTGCACGTAAAAAACGCAGAAAAATTATTTAGCAGCTGATCACCAAACAGTTTTAAACTTAAATGCATTGTAAAGACACATTTTTGGTAGTCAGTAGTAACAAAATGATGTAGAAAAGTTGCTTTCTATATCTTCTTATCTTCTTTACCTGAAAATTAAAGACCGAGTTTTAAAACTGGGCGTTTCCAATCACCTAAAGGGTGTGGCACAAAGTCAAATCATTATCCAACACCCCTGAACCCAATCTTTGCCACTTAAATCCATCCCTGTTACCAACATTATCAAATTACAAATAACTGGAGAAGAAAAAATCTAAGCCTGGCTAGATGAATCATAATTACATACCACTCCAAGATACTGTCCCTCCTGAGTGTACTTAACAACTTGATCATTCAGGAAACTTGCAACATAGAGAGTTTTATTCGGACCAAATGCCATTCCCTCTGCAATCAAAACAGGGCTTCATCAGAGGCAAAGAAATTACAAATAATTGTAAACAAAGGAGAGATGTATACGAACATAAAAAAAATAATGCTTAAAATAAATTGGCTTTTGTGACACAGAAAATAGAATATTGGCAACAAATGAATTTTGATTCATTGATAAAGAAGAGGGCTAGTATAAAGCACATATTATTTGACTGTTCAGTTGAAAGCAGAATTGTCAAACGATCAAAACTTTCTCTTCATAGATTAACAGAAAATACACCAAAAAGCACATCCACTTAAAAAAACATATTTTTAGTGATAAAAGGCTCACATTCTTTTTTAGATTTAAAGTGGGAGTTGAAAGAGTAATGACATTTAGCAGTATTCAAAGGATACTCTTCACAAACCTGGACAGTCCAGCTCATTTTCATTGCCAAAAACTGATATGAATCTATGAAATATATAAAGTACATCAATTAAAATGGATAATTTGAATATAATCTAGACTAAATGAATCTCTAACTGTGTTGCATTAAAAAAAATTTTAAGCTGAAAGGAAATAATATCCATATGTTGCATTTGACATAAAAGTTGTATAGTCTATAAAATTTTTTTCAAAGTTGTGCTTCCTAGGACTGTTCTTTTAAACTAAAAAAAACTCACAAAGAAAAGTGATAAATATCTTGACAGCAAGAAGAATTCAATCTCAATAAAAAACGAAAATTTATAGAAGGATAATGAAAACTGCTTACCTGCCAGATACTTTTTCATATTTGTGAATCTGATCAGTGGTAAAGCTTGCGATATAAACAAAGTCTGAATCTGGCAAGACAAAAAATAAAGAGGAACTCAAGTTAGAAATAATAATTTTAAAATGAAGGATTGTATCAAAGGGCAAAAGATTATACAGACAGTTGAATATATCAACCTTGGTCTTACCATTTAATTTAGGAATACAAATTTAGAGTGTCTGGTTGCCATGCTGTTTTTAACAATCTTTCACAGCTGTATGAAAATGGTATATTCTGCTATCCTAGTGGAACTATAACCAGCTCTCATAAAAAGAAAATGTAGAAGAATTTCCTTCATGGTGATATTTTCTTCTAGATAATTATTGCACGAAAAAATCACCATGTCACTGCTTAAAAAAAGATTTAAGAGAGTTTATGAGCAAAAAAGCTAACCAAAAAATCTTAAAAAAAACAGAATCTATTCCTGTCTTAATGCTCCCTCGACATTTTATACACTGTTGTCTCTTTCTCTGATAAAGAAATTTAAGTGTTGAGTTCATCTAGGGCCTAGATGAACTCACAAGTTTCCTAATCAAACGACTTAAAATACATCATAATGATACACGATGGCTGCGTAAACTTAACATACCAACAGCTATTCCCCAAGGGCCGTCTAGGCCATGTCCTTTAGCAAATGTCAGAACTTGTGACGAGGAATCTCTGCTATCTTTGACATATAATACCTAACAAAATTAAGAAGAATTTTGTACTAAAACTTGCTCAGCATTTTTTCCATAATCCAAAGCTAATTCCTAATAACCAAACTTTTTCATCCATTCTATTACTGAATGCAGAAAAATTGTACTTTTGCTTTGCATATAATGTTAGATTGTGTTCCAAAACAAGCCTGTTGCAATAATATGTTATTATTCTTACCTCGTCTGTTAAAAAGCTAAAAAAGGAGAAAAATAATATTACTTGACTTTGAGATATCATTTGCATATTTACAAACTTGGAATTGTGACCAAGTTTTGTTAATTTATAAAAACCATAGAAAATCTTGCTTTACAATAGTTAAAAAGCATTACAAAGAATTTTCAAAGCACCAGGCAAATAATAATCCAAAGCATCGGTAGATTTCTTAGACATGTAAAACAGATGCAGAAAATTATTCATTGATAACTATAAATCTTTTTGATACTTGAAATTATTGTACATTATCAATAAAATGCCCTCCTTGAACAATCATCACTTGGCAGGGCTGCCGAGGGGGGGGGGCAAGGGTAGCCAATTACCTCAGGGCCTCAAGGTCTATTAGGCCACATTAAGTAATAAATTCTAATATAAGAATTGAACCTAAGGGACCATAACAAATGTATAAATAAAAAGAGTTTTGAGTGATTGAAAGAAAATGACTGTAAAAAATATTCTGAAATGCATCTTAACATAATATAAAGAGCGTGGTCCTGTCTTTGAGTTTTGCCCAAGGGCTTCCAAATCCTCTCGACAGCCCTGTCTCCTGGCATATAAACCATCTCTTGAAGTTAAATTGTGTTAAGAACCTTCTTGAATAAGTTGATTTCTTAATTCTTTCAATGTTTGTTCCATTTTCATGAAATTGTTAAATGAAAACAACCTTGTTTTTGGTCACTGGTATTCTTGGCTGATGATTTGATTAGATCCTGTGTGTTATATTACAAGTTAGATTTAGGTAATTTGGTACCTTTACTTTGTTTAGAAACCATAATTAAAACACACATACACAATTATAATTTGCTCTTAGAATTTTTGTTGCCCTCCGGCAGCCTCCTCTGTAAGAGTTTGTAGTGACTCTACTCAGGCCTGTTTACATCAATTTTTCCTTCTCATTCATTCCATCACATTCCCACATTCTCACATTGCAGCACAGGCATCCTCTACAGCACTCTCAGCACAGGCATCGCACACAACAATGCTCAATTCTTATTTCACTAAAAGTTCACTGTCAGTTAATTGCAAGTAAGGAAGTAAGTAAACAAGATTTATTTGCTTGTGTCCCCAGATTAATATCCTAGAACAAATACCACAGGTACTCAATTATCATCCTAAATAATTTGGAAACCTTAGTTGGCAACAGGCTTGTGGAAAGTAATCCTGGCACACTCTAAACCCTTGATATTCAGAAATCCTTAACCAAAGCCCTTGGTGTCTCATCTGCAATTACAGTTGCAACTAATTTTGATGTTGACAATTATAGCTGACATACCTTGAAATGAATAAACTGTGATCAGGTAAAGAATACACATATGATGGCTTCTTTATGTCACTGAATTCTTTAATTTCTCTTTTGGAAAAACCATCCCTAAAATTTAGTAGAGTTTTTACTAGTTAGCCTGTGGGTAACAGAATTTAAAAATTAACTGCTAAAACAATTACTGAATTTTTTAGCCTGACTGCAGTTCAATATCACAAACAAATTCACCATGCGCTTTTCTGCCTAGAATGTTTTTTCAGTGCAAATCTCAAGACTGCTAATAGCTCAAAATATCCCTTATTCTTTGGATTTTCAGAATAGCAGTAATTCTGATTTACTAGTTTGAAAAATAAGACAAACTAGACAAGGTAAACAAAAAAACATTATTTAGGTTCAAATATCAGATCATTCTGTATTTAGATCAGTCCCTGGCATAAGCAGCTTCTTAACCACGAAATTTCAAGTACTTGCTAGATCACTGAGTAATTTGTTACACATCTGGTATTAGCATGGGCTTTTGTGTTTCGGCTTGGTGTCCATTAATGGCAACCAATTAACAATAATTGTATACCTAGCTACCACACTTATGGATGCAAAATGTGTGGATGAAAAGATGGGTGCAATACCATTATTTGATAGTAAAAAATTTAGTAAAAAATATGCAAGAAAGTCTGTAACCTACCAAAGATGCTGGATTGCTTCAATTTCTGGGTTGATGAATGAATTTGGGAAAGGCAGCTCTTGGAGATTTGAAAATCTAAACCTATTACAAAAGAAGGGCTATTTTATTACAACTTGTATGAGAAATAAGGTGGAATGCTATATGAAAAAATAAGATATCATCCAGAAATTATGAGACTGTACAATACTACAGGGCAGTGGCATGCTCCGACAGGACATGAATGGGGAATTAAAGCGTCCCTTCCCTCCACTAGCTTACAGGTCCAGCCTGACCCGACTGGTACCACCTGGCAGGGTTCCCTAGCTCAGGGCCACGAGCGATGACCAACGGCTAACTCTGCAGGAGACCGGCAAGGAGGGCGGATGAGCTACGACTCCAGGGGTCAACAGCTTCGGGTGGAAGAACTCCTGGAAAGAGGGATGGTGTCCCTTTAAAAACACTGTAGAGGTGGTTCTGGGGGCCCATCTCTACTATTAGCCCCTTAGTTTTATCTATGACCATGAAAACAAACCAAAACTCAGATTTTGGGATAGTAGGAGGTACCTGGTGATGACAATACTACATTCATTTGTTGTTTGAAGCCAAATTAATTAATGATGGAAGCAAATAAAATTTAGTTTAGGAAGTATGATGTGTGTAAAGGGCTTTTCAGCAACAGGGCTTTGAAATTCATCATGTCCCACCATGCAATTTTGTAAATCTAATACACCCCCAATCAAAATCAAATCAAAAGTATGGACAATCAACAACATGCTTGCCCCATAAGGAAAACATGAAGCTGTAGGGTCTTTCAATGCAACTGTAGGGTCTGTTTCTTCCTGTAAGTAGTGCACGAAAAAATGATGAAGATTCTCGAGTGCATTTTTTACATTCCCTCTGTTTTCCTTCTTAATTCCATTTCTTTTTTTCAATACACACTCTAAAACAGTATGTTGAACAAGAACAAAGATTACAACGACGATACCCAGAGCATGATATTGATAAAACTGACTTGGACCTTTCGATTAAAATTTTCATTTTACCAAATTCAATTTAAATTGATATAAAAATTGAAATGATATACATACAAACTAATATAAATAGCAGATTTGACAAACAATGCTTTTATTCCGAAAGCAACCATATCACCCATGCTTACAAATTATTTGTTTTCAACTACTGTTAAAAGATCCATTTCAAAACAGCCTCATTTCAGTTCGAATCTCATTCCTTCAATGATATAGTAGCGCGCGGAGGCGCTAGATGTCTAACTCGGGTCAGGCCTCATTGGGTCAGGCTCACTGATCAGGCTGCGTACAGCCGAGTGAGGCAAATTTGTTAACTTCCGCCATTTTAAATAATGGCAAAAAGTGAGCTGCAATAGGGTTTAGTATGGAAAATTGCTTGTTTTAATGAATGATTTTCTCATGGCTCACAACTACTTCAGTGCCTTTTCTGATGCAGGTAGTTAGAGGAGATATAAATCAACAGCACATAGCAATTTTTAGGGGTTTTTAAAGAGAATTTTAAAAATTATGGCTCTTTTAGTTTACGCAGTTACGGGGGGAATATGGCAGTGGCTTGTCGTGTTTTTTATGAGTTGAAAAAGTATGTGTTTGCAATTTTTATCTTCATATAGATTAGAAAAAACTTTTTTAGTCTATTACCTAATAATATAGACCATTTAGATATATAATTCTTGAATTTTTCTGTCTGTCGTTTAGAACCTAATATGGCATGAGTAGGACAGTGCGAATGTTTTATATTTAGTTTGTCAAATTGAATTTGTAAAAAAGAAATTTGATATGAATCAAATTTCTTTCCTCTTGGTAAGGCCAAATTAGAAATCTTTGTCGTGAAAGTGTACCCCGAAGTTTTTTTATAGGCCTAAAGGTACGGGGAGGGACGCATTGTGCTGAAGAATAATTACAAGCAACGAGTGTGGTCAGGGACGGTCTGGCCCGGGTGGCAAAGTGGCGATCGCCACCCTGGCCCTGTGTACAAAAAATTTACGGGCCTTTCCGCGTAGGAGAAAATTTTTTAACTTACTGTAAAATACTTAATGCCCTTGACTGATTACATTGCGATTAATGTCCCAATACATGCGCTTCAAACCACCCAAACCCTGGTTTCCGTTATTTCAGCCATGTGTTCAATCTTACTTGTACCCTGGGTCCCAGAGCCAAAAAATTTCGAGCGCGTAAACAGAGTGCCAAGCAGAGAAGCGAATGAGCGTACTTTTATCTTCTATTTCCGCTCTCTAATTTATGTGGCTCTGATGCCCAGGGTATCTGACTGTCAGTGACAGTGCTATGGGAACGAAATTCATGTTTGGCGGGTTGGACTGGCTGGTCGGGCTATTCGGGGGGCCGGTTGATAAAAGTGCAAAAAAAATTAGCTTAAAAAGTGAATGCGAGGCAAAAAAGTATACCTACGCGTTGATCTGTTTGCCTTGAATTTTCAGAGACTTTGTGGGAAAGAATAAATATATACGCGAGTACTCCAAAACCATAAAAATTATGAATTCTTTATTGTCACCGCAGCCCAAACACACTTCTTCAGGGAACATGTTATTGACATTTTGTTATATTTTCTCTTGACGGTATTTCCTTTTTGGCAACATATTATACTGTAACATCCCAGTTTCAATGCGATACATAAAGCCCCGGCAAAACGACTGGACATTTGCACTGGTCACACACTGGACATTGCTCACTTGTTCAGAGTATGGACATCAAGAAAATATTGGTGGTGGCAAAACGACTGAACATTGTCCAGTGAACTTTTTCCCTGTTGAAGAATGCGGGTGGTAAAACTGGCAACAGGGCATCTCTTTACCTTTGAAAATACACTTTTCATAGCCCTAACCGTGTTATCGTATGAATTAGAGTGTATTATTGAAAAGTGGATAGGACTGCTAGGTTCATCAAAATCACAGTCCTCGTGCTCTCTGACATCACTTTCCTTATTGGAACTAAAGCTAATCTGATCAGAAGACTCGTCGTTACTAATGAAATGCCTTTTTCTGCTATTGGTCGAATTGAATTTTCCTGTTGTTTCCATTTCATTCGCGGTGTTGACTAGGAAATTTTGTTGAAGATTTGAATATGGAAAATAAATTGACGCCAAATCCAAACCATTAATCGATTGCGCGTGCGCGTGGACAATGTTCAGTAGAGTGGCAAAACGACTGAACAATTTCTGTACATCATCAGTGAGCAAAATAAATTTAATCCTGTCCACTGAACATTTTTGGCTGACTTCAAAATCGACTGAACAAATTCAACATCGCTGAACAAGACTGGACAAGATGGCAAAACGACGCAACATTTACGCTGGCAAGATTTTAACCTGCCCCGATGACTTTTTACTTAGCTTTTGCTTGAAGCTGGTCATGTTTTTCCCTAAGCACAAGCTATTGCTAAATGTAATAAATTTAAAAGTGCAAAAATTAGAGTTCACTGAGCGATTTGCTCTGTGATATGAAGCAATAAAGAGGACATACGTAGAACAAGGGAAGAGCAAGAAGACTCCAACAACCAAAGGTGGTGCACAGAAATTTCGTGAGGAAAAGCTGCGAGACTTAAAAAAGGATTCAGCTACGATACAAAGCTTTTTTATCAAGCAAAAGCCACAAACGTCACAAAAAACAGCAGGGTCTTGTTCTTGCTCCATTCAATAAACTCATACAAGTTATGGTAAATTTTTTAGGCATATACTATCATAAGTCAAATGGACTCAAATGGCTGCTGAAAATTATTGTGTATTTCCGGAGGATTAGAAAATTATCTGTCACAAGTTGAGTGTGATAGAAGCTTTTCCACTTTAAATTTATAAAGAACAGATTACGTGGTAATTTTTCGCAGCCAAACCTAGAGTCCTTCATGTTAATGTTCTTAGAAAAACAACTGTTAGATGACATCTAGAACGATCACATTATCAACATATAAGACCCCGTTTACACTGTCCCGGGACAATTTTGTACCGTTACGGTTCGCAAGTGTTTACACTGTCGCGGTCGCGGTTCCAAATTGTTTCGTTTAGCCGTTCCGTTTACACTGTACCGGTACAGTGTAATGGCTTCAAAATTTAATGGCAGGACATTTTTTAGAAGAAGCTGTATTTAGTCAACCAAGGCTTTTATTTTGCCACCGAAGTCAACAATCGAATTTTTATTGAGAGTTAAAATGGAGTGGAAGGCCGATAAAAACTTTACTTGGACGAACGACAAGGTGGCTTTAATTTTCAGTATTATTTAAGTCTAATCAAGGCTTGGACTGGGAAACACTACAAGCCTTTTCTGTGGTCGTCTTTTCTTCAGAATTTCCTTTTCTTCAGAATTTGAGAACGTAGTTACGCCACAATCAAAGCCTCGATTACCTGAAGCAGCCATACAAAAGACCTCTTTGTGAATCCGTGACAAAATCGTCTCGGATAGGTGTTTACACTGTCCCGTTCAAAAACGGAACCGTGACGGTACAAAATTCGTTCGCTTTCAAAGCAGGGTCCAAACTGTTCCGGATAGCAGAGCAAAATCGTCACGGTTCCACAGTGCTAGTGTAAACGGAAGGGCGAACCGCGACAGTTTTGTGACGGTTCCAAACTTGCACGGGACAGTGTAAACGGGGTCTAAGTTACTGTATATTAAGAAAGTCAAACCAATGAGTTAAAATTTTTGTTTATTTACTATTTAGTCAGCAAAATACATATTTAACATGTTCTGTTAACCAGCATTCATCCATGCACACAATTACTGAATTTAAAAACTTGTTTTCCTTACAGACTAACATTTACTTGCATTTTCCGAGGAGCTTTTTAATTGCTATTTTTGTGGGCCGGTTTGATCAAAATTTGCCCGGGCCAAAAAAATTAGCCAGTCCGCCCCTGTTTGGGGAGGGGCGGCTGCTAATTGTATTTATTTCCACTTAGTACACTGTTAATTATACAGGAGATAAGGCTTAGGCTATGGCGCACCGTTGCGGCAAAAAATGATTAGTTTTTGTGCATGCAGTTTTAGAAAAAATGTGAATGCACATTCAAAAAATTGCAGGCCCGTCGGAACCGGTGGGGTTGTGGGGGGCTGGAGCCCCCCAATAATTGTC